TATTCACTGTTTTACCTTATGTTCAAATTCTGCTTTATAATCATATGGGGAATTATGAGGAAGTTTGTCCAGTCCCATTGCACTTAGTTGGGCCATTTTAGCAGCATGCATTGCTGCTGCAGCTTGTTCTTGAGTCATACCCATTCCTAAAAGTAATAATAATAATAAGACTTAGTTATGAAATATTTAATATGGAATGCAGTGTCGATCGTATATAAGTGATACAAATGTCAGAAATTAATCAATAGATATATGATTTGTTTATTTGAATATAGTCAAAAATAAAATTACTAACCGAAAGAATTTTCTGTTATGAATTGCAGATATGTATCCAGGATGGCTGATCCTGTAGCTGTTGCTCCTGGTGGCCCAGGATGTGAGCTGTAAGGATCTTTGTACATCCCGTCCATAGTTTTGGGCGTTAATCCAGAATGAGGACCCCGAGCCATGTTGACTTTTGTGATAGTCGTGTTGTTTGGATGATGGTTGAAGCCGCCTGAAAAGGTAAGTGAATTTAATATTTGCATGATTGATCAAGGTAATTTGGTATTCCAATTTTAATCGCAGGGTTTATATCGAGGCTATTGAATTAGTTGTCATTTTTTTTTTGAGTTTATCAAAGAAATGTTAACGATATGAGAGATATCTATGTCATATTTCCGACAATATTAGAATATACTTTGATAATTATCAGTTCTCAAAACATGTCTATGTTTTGAGTTCAAATTATAATTTATTTATAAATTTTGTTTCTCAAACGGTCGAGGCCCGTTTGCAACAAATCGCTAATACTTAATAAGTAAAATGATCTCTCATAAAAATAATGAATAATCTTCTTACCCGGTGATGAAGTCATCACGTCGTGCATATACCGATGCGGCGTCATTCCTGGATTGACTACGGTCAGATCTTCCGGATCGTTGTCTCCGCACATGGATCCACCAGCGTCCGAATCTTGGCCGCGAATTTCTAATTTGACGTCACTTCTTCTAGGCCCAGTAGGAGATGCCCTTGCTCGTAATTCGGCAGCAGAAATCTTCACGCCGGCTTTAGCTAGTAACCTGGAAGGATGCGGATCGAATACGTTCAGTAACCTATAAGCGAAATTATCACAACTATAGTTCTCCCAAAGGCCCTGCTTGGAGCCCCAAGAAGATAGAGATAGTTTTTGTTTTTAAATTCGCGCTGCTTAAAAGAACTACACTACACTTTGTGTAAAAATCGTTTATAGCTTTATTTGTTCATGAGATATTGTTGAAGGCTTATTCAAAGCTGTGAAATGAGTTAAAACTGGGCATTAGACTGATTGGTCTATGAGTAATTAGTAAACAACAGTAAGGTTATTATTATTACCTGCTTGCAAGTTCTGGGTCAAACGGGCTAGGCATCGGTAAAACGGGTAAATCCTTAGTAGATATTCCTCGATGTTGTCTGGACATGTGCGAGTGCAAAGAATTGCGACTTTTGGCAACTGTTCCGCAAAGAACACAACGGTAACCTGGACAGACTGTATGTTTGTCTTCGAGATGTGTGCGCAGGGTGTGGGCTGATCGGTATATTTTTCCGCATTTGGGACATGGCCTAGGATCGGTAGCTCTTACACGTAAAATATCTGAAAGAAGAGTAAAGTTGTTTAATAATAGCAGAATACTTTTATATTTAAAGTTATTTTTACCTATTCAAGTTTGCGATTTAGAACCTAGGTTTTCTACTTCATGTCTGGCAATTACGAACATGCATATATTTTTTTAGATTTTCATAATCTAAATTTTATAATGAAAGTCTAAATGCAAGTTGTGGAATGTATAGTCATTTTTATATTTATCCATCAGGAAACTACATAAAATATACAAATTATTTTTCATAACTTAATAATACTTTTTCAATATCTTTATTTTTTATAAATAGTAACCTATAATTTTCATGACTAAGTTTAAATACGACTTTATAAGCTTTCATATTAAATTATTTTAAATTACTATGCTATTTCAATTGTGTTTAATAAGCGTACAAATCATAAAAACTTATGCTTGATTATTTTGTAAAAATCTTTGGAATAACAATAGTCATTCTTTTATACGTATCTTAAATTAATTAATACAAAATAGTAAAATATTAATCATAAAAAGTAAAAGAAACGCTAGTTAATTTAATTAGTCTTTTAATCTAAAGTCAGCAATAGAATATTTAAACTTTGGCGTAAAGACAAATTTTGTTCTCGTTACATTCATTCTAGTTTCTTAACAAATTCTATTCAGGAACGTTTTCGATATATAAATATTTTATACATTTAATATTATTAACTTCAGTCAAAAAATAATCAATGCTTACAAGATTTGAAAACAATTTGGGATTTTTTTTTAAAATAAATCGAAGCCTTACAACTAAACCCTAAATACTAAAAATATTTAAATAAAATAGAACGTAAAGATACTTATAATAAAGTAAAAGCGCATTGGCTAAATGAAAAATCACAAGCAATTTTGATATAATTAAAAAATCAGTATCACATTTCTTCGAATTTTTAAATAATTTTCAGTAGATTTAGGAAAAAGGTTTCTATCTCAAACGTATAAAATTATTTTCCAAATTTTAAATTTGTATGTACATTTTCTAATTTTTATTTACACATTCAATTGTTTGCAAAAAATATAATTTTTGGGAAGTGGAATACAGAGTAATCACAATAAAATTTCTAAGTCTTTTGGCGATATTAGTAGTGTACATCATACTTAGTAGCCGAATTTTTGGATTTTTAAATACTGCGCGGAGCTAATAATAATAGTTACATATTTATCTCTAAACTTGAACCAATGTGGCTGGTTAAGACTGGCATTACACAATGCTAGTGGTATTCTCAACAATGTTTCTTCCTACGTGGTGTCAAAATTATTAATTAATCTTCCATTTTTTTATTTAGTTTTACGAAGTGTTGAAGAAGTACTGAAAAGGACTTCTGAATTAAATTGAATTAACAAATTGGGCGCGTTCAAGTGTTTAAGATATTGTTATCGGCTATTACTATATTTGAAACGTATATATATTGCCGAGTTACGTGTCACATAGACAATTATGTATTTTAGTTTTTTCAGCTAATTCATGTAGCGTTAAATTCTGGTTTTGGTATTTAAAATGGATTTAAATTAACTTATAAATATTTTCTAAGCGTGTGTTCTAAAAGCTAAGCATATCCTGTAACATTGCTGCATCAGACCCTGCACCACCAAACGCTCCCCAGCGCATCGCTTTCATTTGTCTCCACTGCATAGGATGTTTAATTACGCATATGATTCCGCACGCTGTTCGGATGGGCGAAATGCCTTGAACAGGACGATACCGGGCAGACGGGCGAATCCCGCGATAATGCCTTTCGAGATGTGACTACTGCCGCTATCAGAGATGCTAACGGAGCATTACATAACGGGCACACCAGGGAAAGACGTTGTTGTTGTTGCTGTTGAGACCCAGATCCCGATTGCTGAGATCTCGATCCCCCCTGAAGTTGGGACCCCCTCCCGCTGGGTGTTTTGAAAACTGCATTTGCGTCTGCGAGTTGCTATACATCGAATATCTTGCGCTAGGAGATCTCTCCGTCGCTGCAGGAAGTGGCGACGTCCGCGCAGGAGACATCGGTTCCGTCTTCACAGTAGTCGCATCTGCAAATTGCGATTTGAAACAAAAATAAAACATTGAAGGCATTCAACAGATAAAATTATCAAGTGACATCATAGTGTTCTGAGTCTTCCAACTAAAGATTCAGAGAGCGTATGGTGTCGTATCCCCGACTCCCCACGATTCGAATTAATTGATGATTTTTTATTTTGACATCCGATTGTCGGGGGATACATTTTTAAATTTTCAAATGCCTTTAATGTTTTATTTTCAAATCGCATGCATAATGCTACTCTTGCGAGCGAAACCAATATTTTAAGAGTTAACTTTTTTTAATTTTCGTCTTAGGGAGACGGGGTTTTTAATAATGTAATAGGTATATCCTCAAACATTCACTATTATGCGGTTTGCACTATACTGATTCAGAAATAATAAAACGTCACATGATACATTATATTTTATTGAAGCCTACTCATATTAAATAATATTTATAAACAATATTTTCTCATATTAATTTTACATGATATAAAGCTGATAGCGTTCTCATTAATTAATACTAATAATATATAAGTCTTAATAAAATCACTTGCAGTATACTTTGTGAATGAAGATTTCGAATATTTACGTTATCAATTTGCCATAAATTGAAGTAGTTTTTAGAAATTGTCCTTGCGACATCTACTGAATGTTATTAGTCGTAATAATCAGGCACTTCATAAAGTACTGAACTAAGCTTAACAGTACAATGATATCGATATTAGCTTTTATTTGCTTCTTTATCAAAATTTAGGGAAGACGTCTATTGCTTGCATGTCAGTTTCCATTATTTCAGTCATTCCTCCACGATTCATATCGACTCTGAGGCGGTCTCTGTCTAATACCATGTGCTTGCAACTGATGATTAATGAGATAATGTTTTGTCTTGCACTTTTTCCCGCAAGTCGGACACGTCAGATATTCTCCTTCTTCTGGACGAGCGTGGACATTGCGTAGATGCTGTCTAAGATTACTAGCAGAGGAATAAATCCTCGAGCAAATCGGGCAGCTAGGGCGATCCGAGCTGGCTTGTGGAAAATTCATCGGCAGACCGCGAGCCGCCCCTGGAATGCAGAGGCGGCTTTTACACAATTGAATAACAGAAGAAGAAAACACAGTTATAGATAGCATTTATAACGCATGCAATGTAAGGCGGAAGAAAAATTAATCAGTTGAGCGGTATTATCAGTTTTGGGATATTTGCATATTTTTTATTATAGTTATTTTCCGTTTTGATCTGTTTCTTCAAAGTTGTTTTAGATATTTTTCATTATTACATATACAGATCTACATTTTTGATAAATTGATTTTTTGATATTTAAATTTGGATAATTAGTTTTTTTGGATGATTAGTTTAAATTTTTAAGCATCTAGATATTTAATGGATATTTTGGATGTTTAAATATAACTTTTTCAATTTATCATTTCGAATTTGAAACTTTTGAATTTTAAACAATAAATACTGAACTTGATAAGTTATCTCAAAAATTGATAGATTCCATGTTGATGTAAAATAAATCAAAACGAAATGTGTTACATTGCACCTTAAATATTGCGCAAGTAATAAGAGCAAGTGTCTTCATAATGTTGCGATCGATGAGTATATAATTACAATTTCTGTGCTCTGATACTATAAATTTATTTCCACCTGGTTTATTTTTAGTTCATTACATTAATGACTCGGAATTAGTTTCTGAAAAGCGTTAATCTCCTAACAATCTTTCACATTTGATCAATAAGATAGATTCCGTTCGCGTTCAAGAATCTTCAATTCCATTTGTTTGATATTGATACTTCGCCCTCCATTAGTCCTTTACAACGCGAAACGGCGATAAATCCGTTTGCCGGCACAAAGCTCGCTATTATGTCGGATATTTGTACTGTAAGTTGTGTATGGAATGGGGACGAAGCTGAAGTAGGTAATATAGTATGAGTATAAAGCGCTAATACTCGGAAGACATGCAATATACCTTCCTACCTTCCTTCAACTTGTGCGTGAGTACTTAGGGACGCCCGCACCTTTAACGGCAAATTCACAGAAGCAACTAACATAATCGCCCGAATCGATAACGTTCGCCCCATGGACGGGAAGAGGTGCGGGCGCCACGAAAAATGTAATGAATTGTAGTGATTTTTCTTGTCGTTGAAATTACTTTGCTGGTGTATAATGAAGGCGAAGTAATAAAGCTGATGTAGGTTAATGAATTGAACGCTCGGCTAAATGTAATTAAATGATTGCATATGGTTTGGTGGACTTCATTTCATTTGTTTTCTTTATTGGCGTCTTGAACTATTTCTTAAATGATAAATATCTTAAGCATTGTGACAAGCTTCTAATTAACGAATTAATACAAATTTTTGATCCATCTTAAATCTTCAGCAACCTCCATTTCCTTTCATATTTGCCATCTCTATCTATCAATTACTAATTAACTAGTTTTACAAACCTGCCTTATTGCTTTGGCACTGTAATCATATTCCTATTGACTATGCCAATTTTAGGAAGTATTTTGTACAATTATTAAAAATTGAGAAATTAAATCAGCTGAAAAAACAATTACTACCTGATTTCTATCTAATTAAGTAAAACTAGATAACAAGTAATTCCTAGAATTTTGTACTGGAAATCATGCATAAAATTGATAAATATAAATATTTAATTCAATATCATTTAGCGTAATGCAACATATAAATGACGTATATGAGATAAACGAAATATATTCATTAAATGCTGATTGAAATCATAAATTTTTAATTGAAAATGTGATTTAAATTTTAATTAAATTAATGTAATTGATAAATTTGTCCCAGCAAATATAATTGTTACGATATCTAAAATTTGATATTGTCACACTAGTAAATTGGATTATAAATAACTTTCTGATAATAAAAATAATAGTTTGTATAGTTTATAACATATATATATATATATATATATATATATATATATATATATATTTATATTTTAAAAAATCTGATAATTATCAGAATTTGTCATCTATATCGCTCATTTGGTTATTCGCACCAAATTGAATCCACATCCAGTTCATTACGTCATATCTTCACAAATAGTGAATATAATGGCACTGTTGTGTATTAGCATTACTAAAACCCTCGATAATCGCCCTAGCGGAAATACAAAGGGGTACTCGACAAATATTAGTATTCAAAAACTTTCGATTTAAACAAAATTAAGCCAAACAAGTGCGCTTTTCATCGGAACAAACCAGGCAGAATAGGCACCCCGATGTGTGCACCGTATCGCGGATGACCTTTCGCTGAAAATGTATCCAATTTATTTCAGAAAAGGATACTTACACTATATTAGAATATAGTAAGAGAGCTTGAGAGGCAAATGAGGTAAAAAATGTTATAAACATATTGAATAGTTTATTATAACTTCATAACTGTTTTAAGCGTGTTACGCCTACGACATTCAATTTGTAGTACCGAAGTATTTGGAGAGGTTTTGAATAATGAAGAGGATAACTACCATGGAATAAAATATTGATCTTTAAAAAACTGCCATGCAGAAGATAATGTGTGTGAGATGACACATACAGGACACTTAAAAGTTGCAAAGATATAGAAAAAAACTTGATTAGTAACAGGGTGGTAATTATTTTCATACCATGGACATGTCTTCTGACAAAGAATTAATTATTACATTATATTAAGAGCATCGGTTATTCTAGTCGTAGATTGCTACTGTAAGGGCTATCTATTCCCGACGTGACAATCCGATGAAGTTTGAAGGTAATTGAAAAGTGCGTTTGGCTCTCTGATTAATTGAACTAGCGACAACAGTTCGAATATATAGTACCCGTACACTAGCTCATTCAACCGCTGATAATAGAGCACCTATGTAATCGGCGAATCCTTTGATCGTCTTTGTCGTAGGTTCTCGCGATATTAATCGCATTTCTCGCTGATTATATCGAGACGCTGAACAAAACCCCCAAATGGATGGATGGGCGGCGGGTCGGGTTATGTCAAGTGCGAGGAGCGTTACAGAACGCACGAATACGCCCGGAAAGGATTCGACTTATTATTATACGTATGTGTGCTCGCATTAATTGTCTAACCGGGGTGCCATGCACAGCCGCGCGTTTCGCCCGCGCGGTTGCGATAACTAGGGTTGCCTTTACATGTTTCGACAAACTACGTGGAATCGGTGTTCCATTGTAAGTAATCGTTTGAACCTGCCAGAGAAATGTAACTTACTACAAAATCGATATTAATAGTTATCCCAGGATATTATTGACTAAGATTATTATTTTCTTAGTGATTATGATTATCTTGAACTTCATTATTGGCAACTACAATATTGATGAATAATACTTGTCTCAGCATATTAGGATTCTCTTGACGTTTACGATTATTTTCTTGTCGATTGACATATCGAAAGATATGTGATCTTTATAATAATATACCTAATTGTTACTGAAACTTATTGTTTTTTATATGGATCCGCCTGGCAAACAGTAATGCCGTTATAAAACCATCATTTCTAGTACTACTTAAGTTTTGAAAAATTTGAAAAAACTTTTCAAATGTATCATGTTGTAATGTAGAAATTGGCCAAATCGTATTATTGTAACAAAATCCTTGCGCCATTTATAAAAATACTTTCTCCTTATAATTGATCGATTTGAAATTGCTACATTGCTTTAAGGGGCACAACTAGTGTGAAATTTTGAAAAAATCGATTTTTATTTTTTTTTTCATATTTCGGTAGATCACACCTTTAAAAATAACATATTAAAATTTCAAAGCGATATCTCAAATAGTTTTTGAGTTACAGCAATTTAAAAAGTATACATATAGTATATAGTACAACGATAATTTTATCTTTAAATGCGTTTTTCTCGAAACAGCATTTTCCGAATTTGCTGCAGTGATTACTCAAAAACAAATGATCCGATCACTATCAATTTTTTTTTACATGTTCTGTATATAGTTCTCCGTAAAATGAACTATCGATTTTTTGATCGAATCAAAAATCGAAATTTGGCAGTCGAAAAACGACCAAAATTTTGGGTAAAATTCGACTTTGTTTTTCAAAAACTCCGCCATTTTGTCAATTTTTGATTTATTTCTTTTATCGTAGTTCATTTTACAGAAAATATTATCTAGTTTAACGAGATTTTTTTTTTATTTCATCCACGTAGAAGGCCAGAATCACTGCAGCAGTTAAGGGCCTTTTTTTGTCGCGCCGTTGGAGATCGACGATAACTTAAAAACAATTTAATTTTTTTCTTAAAAAATTTTACTATGTATTCTTAAAATATGTATAAATATATTTCTAAAATTTTGAAATGATTGATAAATTAGTTTTTTTAATATAAATTCCAAAAAATCACCTTTTTTTAGGCGGTTACACTAGTTGTGCCCCTTAAAGTCACCATTTTGCGTCAAAGTATTAACAATCATTTTGTTACCAAGTCTCTGTATCAAAAATTGTATTGTGAATGTTGCTTACAACATAAAATAAAAGACCTAAATGTAACCGAAACTTATGCTTTTTACATAAAATTGTGCCAAATTTCCTATGAATTCACTCGAAGAGGATATTTCTATTGCAAGCAGACATGCCATTGTAAAATTACCATTTAAGTTAATAAAAATTTATTTAAATTTAAATGATTGTTGCATAATCCTTGCGGAAATTATAAAAATGGCTACTTTTCGTGATATATTGATTCAAAATTGCTGTATCTGTATCTACTGCCGAAGACCAAACCAAGAAAGTGCCGTACTCGAAAATGCCTAAGGTCACCATCTACCACCAAGAACCTCAGACGATCATTTTGATATCTGTTTCCGTGTACCAAAAATGATTACCTAGTTTGCAATATCAAAAACTATCATCTAGTTCGGCACTGGCAAACTAGGCTCCGGAGGTCCGAAGGGCGTAAGGGGGCATTTGATACGGTCTGCGGGGTCGTAAATCAATACCGAGAGACCTAGAGCATTGCACAGTGCACGTTTCTAGAGCTCTCGCGGGTGGCGGCGACTATGGCGTGTGGGCCGAGGTGGTGGCGCGTAGTTGCGCTAGTGCGCACGTGGGAGAACTTTTCGTTTCGTTTGCACTCGGCGAAAGACACGGGCGCCGGAATTTACTGAAATAGTTTCGAGGAGAGAATTGCTTTTTTAGATTAGACGAATGGAATTGGTCATTATTTGATAGCCTTTGAAGATTTGTTGAGACAAAATGGTTTAATTACACTTTTATTTCTAATTTTCTTTTAGTTCTTACATTTAACTTCTAGTTATTCACTCTTATTTCTAATTTTTCTAATATTAGATTAGCGATTTGAGCGCGAAGTGCATTAAAAATAATAATAATTTAAACATTTGATAAAAAGCTTTAGACTTTGTATTGTATTGAAATAATCATTAAGATTACCTTAAGTTATGTCTAAATAACGTTGTTTTAGTTCCTAATATTTATGAAATAATTCATAGGTTTTATTTTGTTCGTAAGTTCAAGAATAGTACTTAAAAACTATTGACTATGATCATAACCGCGTAGCCCATGAATTTGATGCTCAACCCATCAATTTCAAAAATTATATGGGCTAATAAAAAAGAACTGGCTGCCTATCTAAAAAACGAGCCCACCCATCAAAAATTTGGTTCCGACGCCACTGGCTATGATTAATGAAACGCGTGAAATCTTATATATAAAAATGAATCGCAAAATGTGTTGGTAAGCACATAACTCAACAACGCCTGAACCAATTTGGCCAATTATTTTTTTAAAATGTTCATTGAAGTCCAAGGATGGTTCTTACGACGAGAAAAAATAGAATAATTGCCGGAAAAACCCTAAAAACAGCCCTTTTCTTTTTCTCATACAAACGTTTTCTACCTAAAACGTAGAATCAATTTGAGCTTTGTTGCTATTATATAAAGTTCATATAAAATTACAAGCGCTCACTGTATTTTCCTTTTGAACTATTATGCGGATTTTGATAAATCTTTCTGAAGTTTGTTGGAAATTTTCTAGGATGTATATGATTATAAAGTACTGGAATGTATGTGCAATAATTGTAGAAATAAATGGAAAAAATTGCAAAAAACGACATGTCATATTATAAGAGTATATACATTTTGGAGTGAAGAGTAATTTAAAAAACAATAATTATTATTTTCAGGTAAACGGTGAATATTAGTATATTATATTAAAAAATTGTAGACATGGTTACAGGACAACGTCTGTCGGGTCATCTAGTAACTCATAAAATCTATGAGTTTAAAATTAAATAAGGAAACCATATCGATTTCAGATATGCACGTACCATATTTCTGTGGCTTCCAGAAATAGTCTGGAGCGGTTTGAAATTATTTTCGACGTCTCTGATGCGTTTACTCGCACAAACGCTCTCTGTATAATATATAAGGGCTATATATAACGCAAAATGTCTATGAGATCGTTGTAACATACGCAGTAATGTTCTAAGAACCTTTCCGTACTTCACAAAATCCAATGGGTTTCAACCCATTTTGTAATACACGTGCACTATAAGGTGGGATCGGCAATAAATTCCAGAAATTGTATTGGTACTTGACAAATATTAATTGCTTGGTGTATAAACGAATTTTTATCATACCAATTATATTAGTCGTGATTTAATAATACTTTCAATACTATACTATGGAGTTATATTACCAACTCCAGTAGTATTCAATAGAAATCAGGTCTTAATTTTTAAGTTACCCCGATTTCAGAGATTGTGTCGTTTATGAAATTGGAGTTCTCATTATATTCACAGTCACGATCGTAAATCCTATCATTTGATACTGAGAAAGACATCATAATATCGGATAAAGCTTTCCAAAATATTGTCTAGTGTTATGTAATACTGAGAAAAGCGAAAAGCGTCTATTTTTAGAATAACCGTTAAGATATGTTTAAAAGCTTCGAGTGTCAAGTTATATATCTAAAATGATATTTCGTTACTATGGATCGTAAGTTGAATTATACAACTAGTACAATACACGTGATTAAAATTTTAAATAAATATATGGTTGTGTAAGTACCTTATTATTTTAATTATTTTTGCTGCATCCTATACAATCTATATGAATTTACAATAGTCAGTAAATAATTGAACAAAGTCGGGAAGAATTTATTTATAACTTCTTCGATATCGGAATGTATAGCAAGAGCTAATGTCAGTACGGTAGATTTGTTCGATGAATGGTATGAGTCCTCTGGTCCATTGTCCACGGGTGAATAGTGGGTCCGCGCCCTCTCCTGCGCTATCTTAGAGCTTTATCTACGTCAACTGAGTAAACGAGGGGTGGAATAGGGCGAAATAAGTCGGTAGGTTTGAGGATTGACCCCACTACAAGCATCTATTCTAGAAATGGGTATTCTTATACTGCAAACAATTCTGCTGCGCACTCTCCGTCAGAAAAAAGAATAGCGTGAAACGGAGTTGGCCGTTGCTAGCATTACACAAGTACATATAATGTTCACTCATACCCCCAGAAATATTATATTCCAGTGGGGATGTGCATAGATATTTTTGTGGGCATGTATGTAGATTCTTATATCATCTTACATGTCATAAGTACGTAAAGAATCGTAGGCGCCACTAAGCTCATAAAACGGGGACTATGTGTGACATGCAACGAAAAGACATGAACTTCCTGCTTACCCTCCAAAAACATTTGGGAAAATATGTCTATAAAGACATTTTATTCGATATAGTTTCATACTTAATCTCTCTACTTGCTTACATAGATCAATGTAGTTTTCTTAATTTTATTTTACATGAATAACACTTAAATTAATAGTTTATTACTATAATGATTGCATTATGATAAACTTACCGAAATTATCACCAGCTCCATGTAAACCAGAAGGTCCAGGTAAAAGTCCTTGTAAACCTGTAAAATTTAAAAGAAAATTACGAACTTTATTTAAGACTGTTTCTTGCAATATCCTTAACAATAAATCCGTAAATTTAGATAATAAAAAATGGTACAGTGAACAATGCTGCATGATTTGTAATTGCAATCAACAAACAAATTTTATATACATGACAGTACTAAGCAAATTCTTAAATATTATCTATCAAACTCACCTTGTAGTCCCAGCAACGCTCCAGGAAAAGATCCGGAACCACCCCGAGCAGCATCTCCTAATAAGGCAGCACCATTGGATTGTAACCTCGACTCATAATCTCTTTCGTCCCGATCATCTCTTGCCATATCATTGGGTTCTTCAGTATCGCTGCTGTTACTGTCCTCACCTGTGCTTCCTTGATGTTGAAGAGAAGATTCCGATCGTGCCGATTTATTCTGGTGACAGAGAAACTATTTTAGAAGACGTTTGAGGATGAGGAATAATTGATTCAAGTCAGACGTTGCTATTTTAGACTTTAGAATTTCAGATTTCAAACAAATTCTGAACAAAATGTTTCTTGATTCTTACAACCTATTATCCTAAGCTACCTGATTATTTACATGCAACGTCGGTCCGCCTTCCAGCACCTGTCCTAATAAGCTTTCGCGCATATCCAATCCATTTTCCACCAGCCTTCGGACTACTCTATCAGGACTAAGACCAGCGGCTCTCATTTGGGCACGGTACAGATCCGAACTTCTTGCTCTTTTGCCAGGTGGAGGAGTTCCTAAAGACCTGCTTTGGTGAACTCTTTGCGAGCTGGTAGATGATGCTGAAGTTGGCGGGGGAGGCCTTTGTGGTTTATTGGCGGATAATGATGATTCTCGGTCCCTGTCATCTCTAGATTCATTTCTTTCTGGCCTTTCTTCTTTTTTTAATTCCCATGGCATTGGAGCACTTGCGGATTGCTGAGAAAAAGAAAATCGAAAATTTCTTATATGCAATTTAAAACACATACGTATGGCACAATAGAAAATATGTAGTATGGTTTTCTGTATGTAAGTTCACCATTTGGCAAGCAAGAACGTCGTCATAGGATTAACTTTCGGTAGCAATATAATAAGAGAATGTGAAGCACGACACGTTTGTAACATTTCGCCGGATTATCGCTCATCACATTTGCATAAACGAAAAAATAGACTATATTAAATCTCAGAGAGATTTTTGCATCGGCCTTCTCAATGGCGTTCAAGCATGAATGCCATCATCGCGTCCATATCTTTTTATGATCGTCTGCAATATTTTAGCAAGAATTAATATTCGGTACCTACTTCTTTCCGAAAAAAATCAATACAATTATAAATAATATAATATAAAATGTTTGATTAAAATCAAATAAAAAATTAGTCACTTATAAATATTAGTTTGAAATACTACGAAAATATACTAATGGTTCGTATGTAATTTATTAGAAACAAATTTGAATAATATATAATTCAATACTTTATAATAAAGTAATCAACTACTATAATCATCTAACTTCTTTCCGATGTATATTTTGATCAATAAGATATATAGATCTCAAAATTCTCTAGAATGTGCTTGTACTGTCTCTGAGTATAGTCCTCTGAGGATATAATAATCTTATTTCCGACTTCTTTCATTAATAAATATATAATTTTATTTACCGGTGACGTCTTTAATTCAGTTATCGGCGTGATGGGCAAAGATGTTCCACCCATGGTGGGCACCATGTTGGCTAAACTGCCGGGCATACCAGCAGAGGGTACGTCCGCCAGGCCACGGACTTGTAGAAGTTGTGCGGTTTTGAGGAAATCAGGTAGTTGTTCATGGCCGATGTGCACTTCACCGTGATACATGAACCTGGAAATAATAAATGTACTATTTAAATATTTTATTTAACATTGATACGAATTGATTTTACCAAGACATTTGTTCGAATTTTATGTTTAAAAAAAACAAATACAGAAAACGAAGACAAATCATTTATGCATGTTAAATGTACACATATAATAAAAATATTTCAATTAATCGAAAAAAGATTTTGATGAATTTTAATTTATTTATTTTTTGCAACAATTTGAACTGCATTGAATAAATAAGAATCATTCTAATTAAAATTTGTTGGTCTGATTATTCAATTGTAGCATTAATTAAATAACATTTTTTCCATTAAGTTTCCTTCATCGATGTGAAAAGATTTATATTAATTGAACTAACTAGAATTCTCTTATATTTAATGGAAAAATCTAATAATAACGAGCTGCTGTAGGTCCGCTTTGCCATCATCGATTGTTCATTACCGAATCGACCTTTGTTCTTTTTTTATTATTCACTTGATTATTCTAATTACTCTTGTAATGAATGAATTAAAAGCAGATGCAAGTACAATTAATTAAATTAAAATGGCGTATTAATTCTAGAATTTTTAATTAAAATCACAGAAGCAGCGATGTTTTCGTCCGAACTAATTTATAAATTAATATGTCTAATTGGAATAAAAATTGAAGCGCTGGCGGATGGCGTGCACGTCGATCGTTAAATGAATGAAATTTTATGGTTGCAACATTATAAATTAAAATTGATTGTGTACAGAATTCTAATGGAAAATCTTGGAAGACGAATAGTGTATAAATAATAATAATACAATGAATTGCATTCTCATAAAAAATATGAATTGTAAATAAATTGAATGGAATGGGATTAAATTTTTCAAACAAGCGTTCAAGAAAATTTATGAGTCATTATTTGAAAATAAATTTAAATAATAATATAGAATTATTAACCAAATATTATAAAAAAAAAAAGGATTTATTGTATTAATTAGCTCTACAGTACATCTGATAGATCTATTTTTCTCGAAGTTCTATCTTGTTCGTCTCTATTTCTTGGGGCTGCTAAATTATTACACATGAAACTAAGATGTCATTAGCTATTTATTTCTGAATTCAATATAATTCGCATTAAAACCCGATCTATTTCCGTATCCACCAGAATGTCGTCATTATTAAACTATAAACAGCTTTGTACGTGAACTAAATACAATACTCACACAACAATATTGTCGTTTTACTTGATATTATATTTATAATCGGATTTGAAATGATATTAACTCTCTTGGTGACTCTGCTCGCGATTATTTTGGAATAGGCGATGCGTGGCATTGAAATATGTATGCGGCGAGTTTTCGGTTTATTCGTAATTGCGTTTGAATCATTCTACTAAATGTTATTATTGGCATTAAAGACGGAATATACAATCGCCAAGCAAAATAACAATAAGACAAACTAAAAGCCACAGATTGAATAAATACGAAAGATCGTATAAGGATTAAGTAAGTAAATTCGCTTTTAACCATTCGTTAGAAGCAGCAAACAAATGAATCGCATAAAGTAAATAGTAAAAAACTCTCTTTGTTTCTTGTTAAGTAAGCAGCTAAAAAGAAAGCTCAAAACTAAATTAAATGTTCATATAAAACAACACAACTACTATTTAACAACTAAAAAACAATGGATGAATACACTGAGACTACCCAAGGTTCAATTCTCCAGGATGATTCCAATAAGATTCGTATCCACTACTACTACGACTCTACAGGTGTTGTCTATGAATATTTAACAAAAACCGAGTCAACGCAGACCGAAGGCATGACAATAACGGACGCATTTTGATTTCTAATAAGTCAAATGGAGGTGAATTAAATAAACAAAAATAAACATGACATGCAATTCAAAACAACTTAGCCACTGAATGCTAATGGCATATTTGCTCAGACAGATGATAAACCAGAATGAGTTTAAAGAACTGCGAGGTATCGCATTTTCTAGGACAAATAGTAATGGACATTTAATTTATTAAAAGGGTATGGAATGTAAATCTGAAAGGTGTGTATGGGCTGGCTTTAGATCTAAGGCTTCTTTAAAAATTATATACGTTTGGTAACTCAAATTGATAAAAAAGCAAATATTCAATATTGTATTTCTATCCAATTTTGATGATATATAATACATACCACTATATTTTTAAAGAAGTTATTATCCATTATTAAGGAAATTTTTTACTTAAAAGATATTCAGGTATTCTGAAAAAAACGGTCATATAGGATGTGAGGACAGAAATAGAGTGATTCTGTGCACATTTAAGATTTAAGGATATAGCGTTCCTTGAAACCATTTCAAATCAGTATTCAATGATTAAATATCGGTAAAATCGGTAAATATCTTCTATATAGCTTTCAATAGAAATCGTTAATATTTTAATGATATATTATTCTTCTGATGTAGCAAAATTTATTTTGTTCTAATTTTTTATAAGTTATTGATTTTTGGCAGCCAACAAAGATGCGTTTTCTACCCTCTATCAATGTGCTGAAATTAGAAATAATTCAGTTTTTCCTATCGCTGTATCCAAATAATGTTGGACAAATTATTCACAACATACCAGACGGATTTAATTAGAATTAAACAATGACTATTGCGAATGTCGATGAAAAAAAAAGGTAGCAGATCGTGAACGGATTAATATATTCTCGCCTATGTGTGGCATGTCCTCTATTGTCTGCCGCGACGAGGACTATTGTTCGGCTCCAGTTTCTTCGTGACTGACAGAGTAAATCGTTCTTTGTATGGTAATAAAACGTTGTAGGTGTTCCTGGAGGTAAGATCTTCTTCAAAAATCGCGGGAAAAATATGACTAAAACACTCATTATTGCTGATATATAATTATTAGCGTTTAGTGCCATAAAATGCAATTTATTAACTTCAAAATTTCTCGTTGTATTCAATGCTTTAAAATTGCAATTGCATATATAATTGAGAATGTATTTGATTATAGTTGGGAACTAGATGACAAATTATATTTTAATTTTTTTTGTTATTTCAAAATTAAACGTTGTGCAGACGACTGTTAAACAATATATTCCCAATGGTATGTGCTTGATTTCATTTTTTGATTTTTTATCAGTTTTACTATATTTACTTATTCCAAAATTTTTATCATTTTATTACATTTATAAATTCATTTTGTCAATGTTTATATTTTAGAAATCATTCTCAAATAAAAGCAATTTTATTCTAAAATACATGCAACAATACAAATTTGCAACCAGCATAATTTAAACAAAATAATCAAAACGATATTTGCAAGTACGATAAGGAAGGAATTTAAATGCAAAGTATCTCGTCCAAAATAAATTTAAATTCAAGGGTAATGCAAGTAATAGACTGCGAAAAAATTAACGCAATTTATGCGCATAGTATTAATCTTATACAGAACGACGACTTTGTAAGCACAAATTTCATATAACAAAATACACAGAATATTTCCATGAAAATGCCGATTAAAATTTTAATTTAGTTTTCAAATTAAAAATGAGATATATCATATGAATCATAGGAATTGTATGAAACGTATTTCTCAAATAGAAGCAAGTATTGATTCACAAAATAACTATTTGTCTCATGTGGTTTTGTTATCTGATAACATATAAATGGCAACTATAATTTCAGAATTTAATATAGTCATAAGTCTATTCTCTTACCTGAGCAGGCTTTCCATATCCTCCCCCCGGACATCCCTCAATATCACTATCGGATGTTCGCAAGGGTTGGCCTTCAGCAACCTCCTGAAGTAGGGACTGCACGCGCTCAGCACCACTTTGTGGGCAGTAAACGAGCACCCTTCGCAGCCAACGTCACATCAACGAAGTCTTCTTCGTCTCTCAGTCTTCGGAAAGATGACAGAATCGAACTGTGAAAATCGTTCCATCTTAAGGAGTATTGTTGTTCCGAGGGGGTCGGGGACCCCGAGGTTCCCGAACCGTTTGCCGGCGGCTCCAGCATCGCCCCGAGCGGCCGCACTTTTATACGATCCGTTTTCGCGTTTTCGTCCAACTTGGCCGTTTTTCGCGGATTTTTGATAAACTATTTATATGAGATCTATGTCCTTGTGGTATTAACTGTTTGATTGTTGTCATTAAAAGATTCAAATTTTGTCCGCGTGTGTATTCTCATGTTATTGATACTTTTCTCGATTAGTGTTTGGAGGTAGAAGATCTAGATTGCATAGCACTATTTATTATAAATATAAAGTATAATTATGAATTAACAAACTTTAATGTCGTATATTTTGCTATATCACAGCTTATAGATATACTTGTCTATAAGACTTTATTCACATTTGGTAGTATAGATTGACTTCAACGTATACTTAGGGTTTCATTTAGTTAAAAAGTTGGTTTGGAAGCTAGCTTTGCAGTGTACTTTCTTTCAAATGGACCTGAAAAAATAAACAAATATTAGAACAATGATAACAAAATCTATTCAAAAAGATCAAAATAAAAAAAATGTTGTACAAGTTTTTGGACATGTAAAAATATAACTACACAAAGTTGAAAGTGAGACAACGATTAACCTCATAAAAGATAGAGAGCAAAAAATATTTAAATGTTAATTACTTTTAATGTTGCAATTGCTTCGGCAAATATGCAAAGCGACATTCTAACAATTGTTAATTAGTTAATAAAACAAGATTTAATTGCCAAGGTGTTTATGATTTAAGATAAACATATTTTGTTAAATGCATAACTAGAAAGTTTCATGTAAAAAATAGTACGTAGAATTTTATCTGATAATGCATGTTCATGCATTTAGGAGTTAAATTTAACTACATGAATATGTAATGAAGTATGTTTATAAAATGGTCAGTTCAAATGCAATAAAATGAGTCGTTTTGATTAATCAAAATAATTTTATATGTGAAACTTTCGTAACTCCAAAAAGACAACTCATAATGAAACGCGGCAAGTGTATACGAATGTCGAATAATAAACTAATAACCTGTTTCACATAACAAGCCGTTCAATAAATTATACGCGTGCGTTTAAGTGAACGGTTATTATTTTTGGGAATTTTTCGTGTTGGCCCGGAAATGCCGGAGCGGAGATTCGTCTAGTGCGCGCCCGGATGTATCATGATGCATATAGTATTTGGAAAAGCAGGGGCATTTTTTTCTTTTCTATCCATTTTATAAATTTTAATATTTTGATTCGGATATTCCTCTATATATTGCGCATATTATATAGCATTTTCATTCAAATTTCAAATAATAGAAAATGGATATTATAATTATCCCCCAAAATATGTGAGTAAAAGAAAGAAAAATGCACTGTACATGTGCACATTGCACTCAACTTAATCAGATTTACATTTTTAGCCATGCTTAATTATTACTTTCAAGGAAATGTGCTGATGACTATTTACTATTGAACAATTAATACTAAACGAACTTCAATCGATAATCAACATAGATTTTCCAATGATCTTATTATTTAAGAAAAATAACTAGTCGTTTCAGTCATAAGTGCATCTTTGTGAATTATGACATTCATCACGATTCTTATTTCATATTATTCTTTATACTATATATTTCTCTTAATTTATTTATTATTTTTTTACTATATATTCCTCTCAATTTTCGGAAAGCGAGTACGTATGTAAAATTACATATGATTCACGAACATCTAAGCGCCCGAAGTCATATCACGTTTTCTTATGAATTGCAAACACGTCATTGCCGAGGTATCTTGAAATAATTTTCATTGCTCAATTTATATTACTTGGTTTTTGAAAGATTCTGGGAATCATTACGAGATTTTGAGACATTATAATTGATAACTGTTATGTGAAATTCTAACTCAACGCTATGGAGGATAGAAAATGGTGGATAGAAAATGTATTCTATTTCTTAGAACTCAATAGCAAATATAAATTGAGAAAAGTATATTGTACTAGAAAATGGGTCAAATTTTATAGCATTGGATGATGTCTCTACGGTTTTGTTCATACAGTTGACGCTGAGTTTTATTGCTTTATCCAACTTTATTATTTAGTTTTAAAACTATCCAACTTCCAGAAGTTTCTTTAACTCTTTCGAACAATCGTTGGGAATATTGGGTTAAGGCAACACAAACATCTCATAATTAACTCGGCATTGTCTGCACGATGACAAATTCCACTTTTTGCTTCGCGCCCATGTGTGGTGATTAATTACACTGACAACAATACGAAAATACATGTATTATTCTATAGAGGCATAATCCTTCTTCGAGTTCTATGAATTAATAATACACACAATATGGTGCAGAAGTAATAAAACTTAATTAATAATTATAATTAACGGTTTCATCGAACCAGAGTTTTGGCGGGACGTGTTTTTTAAGTGCGAAGTGCAATTTATTATCTTGGGAGGAGATCGCAGTTTGTGGGTAATCGACAAATCGGTATATGATTCTGCTGTTTGTATATTTTGTTTATTCGTTATTATGAAGGAAGAGTTGATATTTTCCTAAATAGACAACAAAATTTTAGTATAAACGTTAAAATTGACATGTTATAAAATTCATTACGATTGTGTTATGGTACAAATATTACAGCAATCAATATAATTGTTTTTATAACACAACGTGAAATCTATAGCATTCATTTAAATTATGTTTTATAATGAGATAAATTTTACATCGTTTGTTTGAATTGTATCGTATACTATGTGAACTCAGTATTTAAATTTAAATTGTTATGAAGTCTTGCAAAAACCATAGCACTCATTTAAATTATGTTAAAGAATAACGTAAATGCCAAAATGAATTCCTTTGAATTGTGTTATAAAATGACGTGTATATTATAACATTTAATTGAATTATGAAATAACGCGATTACTATAGTATTCTTTTACCTTGAGCAATTTGAATGCAGTAGTGGTTGACTATTATCTATCTGATTATATTTTTATTAGATTTTTAATCTAAAACGTGTTGATATCAGATTTTCACATAAAATTATAGAACAAAATATGCTGCAATTTGAGATATAGATATTATCACTTGATATCATATTTTGCTCTATAATCTCAAGTAAAAATCTAATATCAACGCCAAGTTGGCCGAGATGGGTATTATTTCCAGACCAAGATTAAAACTATTTGTCATGATATGACATGTATATCATATAATTTTTTTGAATCAAGATATAGTTACTTAAATGTAATAGTGTTCTTACTTTAGGGTCAGCAAAATTCTGCAAAATTTATTCGCTTCCATTAACCGGCTATTAAAATAGTTAATTAATAATAAGTACTTTCTTAGTATAATTGAGAGTTGCACTACAAATTGTTTTCATTATTTATTGAACAAATTTTGTTTGATATAATATTGCAATGTATGTATTTAGTCTCTAATCAAGCATTCATTGGAATTATCATTTTAATCACTTGAATAAATAAATTAAAAAAAAATGTGTTAAGGAATGAAAAGTATGCTTTGGTATTTATTTGGTTATTATTGCACTATAATATTCTTTTTAGTAAGGTTCAATAGAGCACGATAGAATTTTTTCATTATTGACTAGAAACACTTCGTTTTCAGAAAATCTGCCAATCTTTCCACCCTTATGGATACCGTACGTTTACCGTATGAAGAGTATTACACAATTCTGAGATCCTCTTTACCATCAATATCCTCGGCAATATTCTTTGCGTATACTATTTTCATATTCAACGCATGAAGTATCGGCATTCGATATGGCGCCATACGATATATAGTATTGTTCATATCGTAACGCGGGGTAATATAAGAACAAGGACCATCACTTGCCTTGCCACAGAGGAATGGTCAGGCCGACAGGGAAAAATTTACTCAACACTGTCTTAAATAAAACTAGCTGTAAGTGGAATTCTGTCTTAAGGCAATTAGGGCATCGTGCCTTAAGGCAAATTGCTGGAACTACCCGTACCAAAAATTATTATTTTTTTAAAAACGATTAACATTTTTGAAAAAAAATTACTTCTAAAAAATTAGATTTTTGAGAAACTATAAATTTGACAAAAATTTACTTTTTTTGACATATTTTCTTTATTTTGACATATTTTGAAAATTCTGTACTTTTTTCAAAGCTATCGTACTGCTTTAACTGCATAGAGACAAAATGTCAAAGCGCGTAAGCGCCGCGTCGCCGTCTAATAAATAAACATTGGTATGGAACCCATAGGAATGCAAACAAAATTTATACTTATTGTTAAAATCTCTATAAAATATCTGATAATTTGATGTGCATTTGTCTAATGATCATTTTTGACCGCCAAATGGCATTTTTTTTACTTTTTTATTAGATCTCCGAAACCGCTAGACCTGCCTTTATGAAAATTTGACCAATTCTTACAAGTAAAATGTTTTTTGAATTATTAAAATCGGACGGTCCGTTCTCTTAAAAACTGAGTTACCATTTTTGGCACTTTTTGCCCCGTATCTTTGGAATGGCTAGACCTGCCTTTGCCAAAAACTAATCAGCACGTCTCCTTATCAATACAAATCAAATGTTTTTTGAATTATTCAAATCGGTTGATCGGTGTTCCCGAAATCGTCGACGAAAATTTGTATCCGCACACACACACGCACACACACGCACACACACACACACACACACACATACATCCATTTTTTCTAAGGTATGCCAAAATGTTCAGAAACCTTTGAAACGTAAAGATATATAAAAATTTTCATTTTCGAGTTTTTTGCGATTACTATAACTTGCCCCACGGGAAGTTAAAAAGGAGACACTAGTGGTGCAAAATAAAAATGGAACTTCAAAAATAATATTTCAACATCAACTTTTCTTACGGCACTGTTTTTTTTAGTTTACAATGTCAGCAGTCTTATTATTCATATTTTGGGTAATTCTTATTGTTTTCCATAATTCCGCAAATACGTTTTTAAACTGTCAGATATACGAAAATAATTGAAATTTAATATGCAAAAAAGTGAACACACAAGGAAAAAAACAAATATGGA